CTCCTTGCTAGGTACACTCACCCTAGCAACCAGCCAAGCACAGCATCAGCATTGGCATTGATTCCATTGCGCGCACGCCAAGAGAGAAAGAAAACAAAAGCAGCACGACCGCAAACACCCGCTTTTTTCGAAAGACCTCGTTGGAATACACGTCTCTCAGTAGCGAAACTTTGTGTATTTACGCTGCCGTAACACCCATTGCCGACCATGGGTAAGGACAACTCCGAACAGGAGGATGCTGTGGCCAATCACGTCTCTGGCCAGGCTAACAAGCCTCTTTCGCGTCCTCCTCACTGCTTGACCATTGATGAGACCGTGGCCGAGCTGAAGGCCAATGCTGAAGATGGTCTGACTGACGCCGACGCCAAGGCGCGTCTGGAGGAATACGGCCGCAACCAGTTCGGCGAGGAGAAGGGTGTCCAGCCCGTCAAGATCCTCGTCGCTCAGGTTGCTAACGCCATGACACTGGTATGTTTTTCCTTGATTGGATCAGGGTTGGTCGAGGCCATGCACGACAGCAAACTAACAAGACTGCTCGTAGGTTCTCATCCTCGCCATGGCTGCCTCCTTCGGTATCGAATCTTGGATCGAGGGTGGTGTCGTCACTGGTGTCATTGCCATCAACATTATCGTTGGTTTCCAGCAAGAATACAAGGCCGCCAAGACCATGGACTCACTCCGCTCCCTGTCATCGCCTACCGCCTCCGCCGTCCGCGACGGATCTAATCAAACCGTCCCTACTGTCGAGATTGTCCCTGGTGACATGGTCGAGTTGAAGACTGGCGACACTATCCCTGCCGATGTCCGCATCATCGAAGCCGTCAACTTCGAGACCAATGAGGCTCTTCTCACGGGCGAATCTCTTCCTGTTCGTAAGGAGCCTTCCATGACGTTTGAGGACGACACTGGTCCTGGTGACCGTCTCAATGTTGCCTACAGCTCCTCGACTGTCACCAAGGGCCGTGCTCGTGGCATCGTTTTCGCGACCGGCATGTACACTGAGATTGGTCAGATTGCTGCTGCCCTCCGTGGCAAGAGCTCCCGTCGTCGTCCTGTGAAGCGTAAGGAGGATGGCAGTGCCAGCCCTGGTCGTTACGTCCAGGCTGGTATTCTCACTGCATACGACGCTGTTGGCGTCTTCCTTGGTATCAACGTCGGCACTCCTCTTCAGCGTAAGCTGTCTCAGCTCGCTCTGCTTCTTTTCGGCATCGCCATTATCTGTGCCATCATCGTTCTGGCTGCCAACGACTTCAACACGACCCAGGAGGTTATTATCTACGCTGTTGCCACTGGTCTCTCCATGATTCCCGCCTCTCTCGTCGTTGTGCTCACCATCACCATGGCCGCCGGTACGAAGCGTATGGTTCAGCGTCACGTCATCGTTCGCAACCTGAAGTCTCTCGAGGCGCTCGGTGCTGTTACCAGTACGTCACAATGACAAGATGTTGACTCGTACAAAGCTAACTCCACTCACAGACATTTGCTCTGACAAGACCGGTACCCTCACCCAGGGTAACATGGTTGTCCGCAAGGCGTGGGTCCCTGGTGTCGGCACCTTCTCTGTCAAGGATGCTACCGAGCCCTTCAACCCAACCAAGGGTTATCTCTCCTCCCGCGTCGAGCAGCCTAAGGATATCACCTTCCAGGGTGAGGATGCTGAGGGCGAATCGTTCTCCGATGTTGATGGCCAGGTCAACTCGAACCCTACGCTTCAGACGTACCTCAACGTCGCGTCTCTGGCTAACCTGGCCACCGTCCACCAGAACAAGGAAGGCGAATGGCACGCTCGTGGCGACCCGACTGAGATCGCCATTCAGGTCTTCGCTTCTCGCTTCAACATGAACCGTCTTGTTCTGTCCGGCGAGGGCAACAACTGGAACCAGATCGCCGAGTTCCCCTTTGATTCCGATGTCAAGAAAATGTCAGTCGTCTTTAGCGATGCCGAGGGCAACCAAAACTGGCTCTTCACCAAGGGTGCCGTCGAGCGTGTCATCTCTTCTTGCCCCAAGATCCAGATTGGTGACCAAGTGACCGACCTCACCGACGAGATTGAGCAGGAGATTCTCCGCAACATGGAAGCCCTCGCGCGCCTCGGTCTTCGTGTTCTCGCATTCGCCAGCAAGCAGGATATCGGCCCCGTCGACGGACACGAGAACCTTGACCGCAACCTTTACGAGAAGGACCTCATCTTCCGCGGCCTCATTGGTCTCTACGATCCTCCTCGCCCCGAATCTGCTCCCTCCGTTCAGATGTTCCACAGGGCTGGCGTCAGTGTTCACATGCTGACGGGCGACCACCCCGAAACTGCTCGCGCCATCGCACTTGAAGTCGGCATCCTGCCCACCCGCATGAACGAGATCGCTGCCGACATCGCTAAGACGATGGTCATGGCTGCTCACGACTTTGACAAGCTCACCGATGACGAGATCGACCAACTTCCCCGTCTCCCTCTCGTCGTCGCACGCTGCGCTCCCCAGACCAAGGTTCGCATGATTGAGGCTCTTCACCGTCGCGAGCGCTTCGTTGCCATGACCGGTGATGGTGTCAATGATTCTCCCTCCCTCAAGCGCGCTGACGTCGGTATTGCCATGGGGCAAGCCGGCTCTGACGTGGCCAAGGAAGCTTCCGATATTGTTCTTTCTGACGACAACTTCGCCTCCATCCTTAACGCTGTCGAAGAGGGACGCCGTATGTTTGACAACATTCAAAAGTTTGTTCTCCACGTGCTTGCCCAGAACGTTGCCCAAGCCTGTGTTCTTCTCATCGGCCTTGCCTTCAAGGACGACAGCAACCTGTCTGTCTTCCCTCTCGCTCCTGTTCAGGTCATGTGGATCATCATGATC